CTCTCTCTCTCTCTCTCTCTCTCTCTCTCTCTCTCTCTCTCTCTCTCTCTCTCTCTCTCTCTCTCTCTCTGTAGCTCTTTACCTTCAACACGCGCGCGATACTGTTGCTATATTTGGCACAATTGCCAATATCGAACGTCAACTGCAGTTACACTGCCTGAGCAACGATAAAGTTATATTCGTCACCGTTGACGTGCCGATCACACAGATCGTTGTATTTACAGAATATGTATAAATAATGTATCACATAATGTATCGCGTTCCAATACTTAAAAGTTTTATTTTGGAAGTACGCTTACTTTCGAGTTCTTTTAGTAATCAATAGTTTGTGACAACGAAATATTGCGCGTTTTCGTATGGTGAAAAAGTAGTCGGCAAACTTTCTTCGTGACTTTCGTGCTACTCTGCATTCATTTATTTATGCGTAATCTATGTTTGTAGCTAACGGGGAAAAAAGTTGACGCGGAATGTATCTATTCGCCTGATATATATTTGGCAAAATTATGTGAAAACCACGACCTGATCGTTAATCCTAAAAGTGTTTTCTTCACTTTAGCAAGTTTCGACATTTTGATATATGAATGCAGGAATGGGAAAAAGATAACTGTGACGCCTACTGCGTATTTTAATATTAATGGGAAGCTTTCCTTCGCTATTTATATTGCACGCGTATGGACACGTGTACTAACCAGGTTTCGATCGTAATAAAATTTTTACCACGTTTTGACTTTTTGACGTATGATCAAAAAAGGTGTAAGGGAATCGGTCATATTTCACGTCACCCGCTTTTCTCATAAAACTCGTACCCGTCCGACATGGCTAAAGGATCTGACAGATTCATCAGTAGTTCGATTTATTTTTTCCGCCGAAGTTCCATTCGACCATCACGGTCGTTCATGATTTCCCATCGCGTCCTCCCACCTAAACCTTAGAAAATATCGCCCGGACATCGCACGGAAAGTGAGAAACTCGTTTCCCGAACCACGTAATAAATTGCGGCAGCTAGCAGTTAGGCGGTCCAAGTGCAACCAGTGTGGAAAAGAGTCAGTTGCCGCGAGACCGAGGCAAAACGGTGCAAAGTAACGTCGACGTTCAAGTGGCAACAACCTTTTCGTCTTGGGTCACGAGTCTCACGTGCGATTTCAGCTTCCTTTAGCGTGCCGTTTGACAAGCGGGTTTTTCGGAACTGTGAAACAAATCGTTGGTATTTTTGCCTCGGGAGCGCGCGAAGCGATGTAACATTATGATATACTCGTACGTGCCGTACGAGCTTCGGGCTAGCTCGCATAAATCTTGATTTGTCGAACTTTAGATGTCCCCGTTGCCCAATCCCTGATATGTCACCTTCCGATTTCAGTACACCGAATCGTTCCTGTCTTTTTAAATCTCTTTCTCGTTCTCTCTTTCTTCCGCTTCTTCCATTATATCATTCGTCGTTGGTATTTCATTTCTCTATTATGATTTATAGAGCCATTTATCGTAAGAATTTTTGGGGTGCAGAAACGTCGTTACGTACCTTACTATTAATATACTCTTTTCCAAAGATCCATCCAATCTTGCCATGCGTTCCAATCTCTGTGCATCCATCATTCAAACTAAGAGCACTCTTTAGAGGACTCTTTAGGGATATGGAATTTCACTCTCGCCATTCGCATCGTCTTCGTTCGACCAATGGCTCTTACGAATTTAGCCACTAGAGGCTCGTCGAGTGGTCAAGGGTCAGTCGAGCGATACCGCCTTTGCGTCGTTACTCGTCTATCCCTATCTCATTACCCGATATAGTAGGTGTGTCAAGGATAGCACGTCTCTTCTCTGTTACGGTTAACGGCGATGAACGTTGACTGGCGTGGACCACCTTGCATGGACGTACACATGGAACCCATAAGATCCAAGCGTTTTCGACGGAAATACGTTTGGGAAATTAAGATGCAAAATTAATATCCATAGATGGTGACGGTTCTCGCGGTCGATACGCGGTCACCCGCGCGCGGGTTTCGTATTTGTTCACGATGTTGCTTCGGCCAGAGGCATCTTCCGGCTACCACTAACGATGACGAATCGCATACTGATAAATTATCCACTCGCAGATTTTTCGTGTTCCGCGTCTCCAGGGGCGTCTTCCATGCTCGCGGGAGACATCCGGATATCCGGTAGAAGAAATGCCCGCAAAATGAATTCGTTTTATCGTAGATGAGCATACATCGCGGCTCTACTCACTCACGACAGATGGAATATCGCGCGGGGAGTGCCACCGATTAATTAGAAGCTGTCCGAGCGACCGTGATAAATAGGTTGCGTAACGAGATCATTAAGACCTCGGTAAATTTCAACTGAACTTGAGCACGGTGTAATTAACGAGTAATTCGTCGCTCACCTGTAAATAATTTCGATATAATAGTTTCACGTCGAGGTGAACAGGTTTAATATTCCATATCGCCGATCCATGCAACCGTAAGGATTGGAAATAATTTCGACATTAATCATTGGCTATCGATAAAATATCGCGCTGGTGAAAGCGCAACTTTGGTTGTAATTCAGAATTTCTAAATTAATGCGAGTAGCAAATTGTTTTTGCGAGCACAACCCACCAGTAGTGAACTTCTCGGCTTTGCCATAAGCCGCGCTAATTTCGGCATTGTATTCGCTTTAAGTCACGGGATCACAGACGTTCTCTAAGCATGTGAACTGTAGTAATCTGTGTACAGTAGGACTTGCGAACACCTGTTCCGTTTCAACACCGAGTGTAATTAGTCAATTAGTTATTCTGGGCATATATACGAATTATGGAGATCTTAAATATACAAGCGAATTTAACAGTTTTAATAAATGTGTAAATCTCAATTTGTAAATATTTTATTAAACTTTGAATCGTTAATTTTACGCACTTGATACAACGTGATAAATTTATATAAATAGTTAAAATTTAACCACCTGATTAATGTTACATTTATTATTATATTGTATACGTTATGTTAATAATATTTTTAAAATTTGGTTTCAGCTGTACAAGAGGAGATTTCTTGAAACTATTTTTACACCTGGAGAGTAAGGGCATTTCCGAGTACACCCCTTGGTCCGGAGTACTTTGCGGAAAACTGAGTGACATCCCGCAAGTTCTTTACAGCTCGAGATCGAAGCTCATTTTGGAGTTTCATACTGAGGGTCCACCGTCTAATGCCACTGGCTTTTCCGGCACTTTTCGTTTTATCGATAGACGTAAGTTAAAATTTTTACAAATTATAACGTAGCTAGCTTGTTAAAGATCAATGGATAAGAAAATGTATTTCGCAATTTAAGGAATTGTGCGGCTATCGGTAAAGAATAAAAAAAGTATAAAATACAGCTTATTGCGAATTAATATGTAAAAATTTTAGAAAAGAAAGATTTTTGTCATTGTAAATGAAATGAATACAGTCACTCGTATAGTTGTCAAAAAAATGACATTTCCAGTAAAACAAAACCGTTGCACATTCTAGAAAAGGATAGAAAATAAACTGAATTAAGAGTGACGGTGTTTTAACGAAAACCTTTCCGTTTCTCGGTCTAAAGTGGAAAATTCGTTTGATTTGAGAGACTTCTCTCAATCTCGAACTACCGCGTTTACCGAGAAATTTTAGATCTTGTTTTAGAACATTCTTTGTAGAAGTTTATTTCTAAGTCATCCCGCACCTTGAGCGGAAAATTATTTAAGATTATCAGGAAATCGCTACGAGCGATTTAATAATGTACCTATTTTTAACGATATTACTTAATATGTATATATGTGTGTGTGTGCGCGCGCGGATTTTACAGCGCGAATGTATAAAAATATATTTTCTTGAGAGATGCAATTTGTCGAAAGTGAGTGTATATATATATATAGAGCAATAGTTTTAAGCTTGATAACAATTTGAACAGGATTCTTTTCTGTGATAGTAACCCATCTGTGGTTTCACGAAATTAAAGTCGCAAATTTTCAAGCCATACGACCGGTCTAAAAATTTTGTAGATTTTAAAACGACGGTTCGTTAGTAAGCGTTTCACGTATATAACTGCCCGACACATGCTTTAAACATGCTGTCCCGCGAACTTTTTATTTTGCTCACGTGTATGCAGTCGGCTTACGTATGCCACGAATAACAGTGACATAATTCTCCCATGGTAGGTGAGAGTTCCCTCTACAATTTGGAATCATATCTTTTTTTCTGCACAGGCTGCAGCGAGATCCTCTTTATGTTTCCTACAACTTTCCATGTGAAATTTTGTACTTTCTATGATAAAAAATATAATATCTCTCACACCCCCGATTCATCGAAACATATGCGTTCTCTTGTTTTATAACGAACAATTTGATCATTGTTCTTGAGATTAATTATAAATTATATCAGCGTATTACTTTTTTGTGATTTTTAACAATCTTTTAATTCGATAATTATGATTTACATATAATTGCAGAAGCAGAGAAAGCAGAGAAAAATTTTAAAAATTGATTAAAATTAATAACAAAAATAATAATGATAAAAAGTCGATGGTTAACACAGCTGGCAGTGATGGATATTATTTAGGCATTCTTATATATCATACTCTAAATAAATAGTAAATCCCAGTTGTGTAGAATTTGATCAATACTCGATGTTTTGGATTAAATGTTATATAGTTTGTCGATATTTTATCAAAGTTTATAACTAAATACGGGATAAAGCTGTGGAATCATCATAAGAAAAATACGTGCGCGTCATCCCTATTACCCGGGAAACGTCACGAATCCATTTTGTTCGATCCATCATCCGGCGAGCACGTCGTTGGCGTATAAGCGGGAAAAATGATGCTATCGACAAAAGACATATCTCTTTTCTCTGTATATTTCCATGCTCTGTTTTTATTATTTTATTTTTATTTCTAATCTCACATTTTTACTTTCTTTACTTATTCCTTATTGTTTAATAAAATCATTTAAATTACTTAAATAGATAAAAAATCTAATAATAATAAAATATATAAAATTAAAATGGAATTTTAAAAACAGTATACATTCAAATCGAATAACAATTTTGTAAAAAAATTGTACAAAATGCTACTCACGTCGGTATATGTTATACGTAAAACTTTTTCATTTTTAAACTTTGATCTTTGCTGATATAACTCCATATCGGATCAAATCGAGGAAAAAAATAGAATAAAAGTAGTCATTTATTTCCAACATGACTATGTAATGTATGTAAATAAAGAACTTTTTGGATTATATGTCGACATGTTGAACGTATCAATAACTCGTTGCAGTTTTCTAACTGGCAGAATTATTTATATTAAAAAATTAAATAACTTCAGAAATTTTATAAAAATATATATTACTATGATTTAAAATATCTCTTTTTGTAAGCTTTTCATGAGTGGGAAGTATTTAAGATATTTTGAAAATTTTGAATCTTTATCGATATTTCCAATTATCATTATTGTGTTAAATCTCTTTTATATTTTTTCTATATATTTTCTTCAATAAGAGCAACTTTCTCGTTAAAATATCGTTAAAATATTAAAATACATTAAAATTGATAAGGTAGTTATATCACTGCAGGCTAATTCATTTATTACGCTTCTTCGCACAATTTCAATCTCAGCCAAATCCGCCAATTAATGAGAAAATTGCGAAGGCGTCTCCTTAGCGGTTGCTAAAAATATCATTCCACGCTTCTAAGAGATTAACAAGGATATTCCCGTTTTCCTTGGATAATTACCTGAAGTTTAACGCGACGAGTTTGACGAACAAGTTTCTATATCCTATATCGTGCCATGTTATTTCACAAGAATTATTACATCTTTGTTTGTACGATACGAAATCGAAGAAAAATAGATTTCAAAGTAAACTTCAACGACGGAATATGGATAGAAAAATACTCAGAGTGGGTAAACTTATAATAGTAGAATAATTACGACTCTCTCGGAACATCCAACCTGGGAAAATTATAGTCAAAATTCTAACAGGTCCGAGTGCTTATCGCTACTGATAAAATGTGTCATAATTGCGATAATCTAGATAGAGAGGAAATATGGAGCGAGTCGAAAAGTCCTTCGGCTATTTGTGCGGTATTGATTATAAAGCGGGAAATTTAGTCTAGACTATTTTCAAGTTTTCCTACCGGCGGCGCCAGGCTAATTACTTGGAGAGCGTCGGGATATCGACTTCAACTCGATATTCCGCGTTATCAGGATCCATTTTATATCTTCCGGCAATTAAAGGGCATCGAGCTAATGCATATTTCGTTATTCGTTGCGTTTGAACGTCTTCAAGGGAGATGCGATCGTCTATAAATTTAATGATGCAAAATTTTCAACCGCTTCGTTCAAATTTTTTTTTTTTTTTTTTTTTATAAATGTCAATATTGTAGTTGATAAAGTGCCAGATAAAAGTAAAATTTAATTTAAATATGATTAAAGCTACTTGGATATTAGTTATCAAATAATGTTGATGTGACAACATACGGAATAAGAGTAATATGAAGTAACATTGACATTTCTGACAGTTGGCTCATTTGAGAATCCCCTGAGACTATATATTTTACAGCATTCGTAAAAGTTTGTTCATAATTTGATTATTAAAATCCTTGATAATATTTTCGGCAATCCCATCGGGGTAGAAACTCACTACGCGATCTCTCTTATGCAATCCCACCTTGCCATGCGTATTTTCCGGTTTCTCGTACCTTAGAGACATCTGATACGAAAAGTACTTAAACTCGTAAAGTTTTTCAGAGTGTCGGGAGTTAACGTAAATCTTGCCTTTACGGAAAGCAGGCTGACGGTACGAAACTTTGACTCGGGATGTCTATCTATTTCACTATCTATTTCCTCGTAAACAACTTCGTGTATCATTAGGAATTTTACCATAAGGACGAATACTTTTGACGATGAAAAAAGTTAATGAAGCCAAAGGAGAAAAAGGAGCTCGTAAGATACGTGTAAGATACGTGTAAGATACGTTTTGAGTTTAAAATAAGATTTATATGATCTGTGATGAACAAGATTAAAATGATTTATTCGAAAGTACGCGCTTGACCAATTTCAAAAAGATTATCAAACTTTCAGCAAGGGAATATTTTTTGATATCGATCAGATACTTGGCTTAATTCTGTACATTTTCTCCTGTGGGAAATGAAACACACGTACTATCGTTTATTAGCGTAGATTTTGATTTTTGAATTTTTTATTATTTTATCATGAGATATTAAACGTAGCTGTTCTTTCAGAAACATAGCATATAAAAATATGGAGAAATCAGTGGAAACATTGTTTCTAATAGTTGATGTTCCCCGATGCAAGTATTATTTTTTTACATAAACCTCTTTCATTACTTTCATAAGCTTCTTTCAACTTTTGGGCTTTTTATTACATGATGGGATTTCTCTAAGGGATTTCTCTTGCATGCATCACAAAATTGGACGCTTACATATTTTTTTAAAATATTTACATAAATAAGACAACGTAACGCAATTTTCAGATAAATAATATTGTATCGAAATTTTATGAATAATTGAAAGTACACGAATATCTCTATAAAATTGCGTATCGTATAGTCGTATATGCAAAGTATCGTTTTTCCGTATTCCTTTCATTAAATGTAGCATCGCGTTTCGAAACTAAGCATAATTTTAAAATCAACTTTAGTAATGCATTATCCACATAATATGCTCGTGCGGATGTTATCTACGAAGTATAGCAGACTACCGAAATGGTGGAAGAGTTCAAACACGAGAGCGTTACACGAAATGATATATCCTGTTTTAACCACCGCATTGTCTGGGTCCACAAGCCATATGCAGCAATGCAAAACAAACGCGTTGCGACTGGATTCAATCGCTCCAATTGCCTTAATTTGCACCGAGGCGGATAGATTGATAATGAATCGCAAGCATCATTACGCAATTAATTTACGAAATTCAATTGCATACGCGTGGGAATAACTATGACGCAAAATCGCAGCTTGGATTTTCACCGCGCCCCGATGAAAATTACGAAACAGCAGCGTGTGCAAGTTTGATCAGCCATAACAACGTAAACAAATATTGACACTTTCGCACAAGCGGGTTTAGTTTAAAAAATACGAAAATCTCAGCTGCATTCAAGTTTATTCGACTGTTGTTTGTCCACGATGGCGGATCGTCCGATGTGAACGATCGAGCCACGTAAAATTAATTTCAGATGGAAACATTTGAATCTGTAATTACACTGACGTGAACTTT